CACGCCATCCTGTCCGACGGCCCGGTGTGGCCCTCCCACGCGCACGGAGCCCACCCCCTGACGCGATCCGCCCACCAGCGCCCCGCGGAGGAGCACCTGCTCCTGCCCCGGCGCTGTCCTCTTCCTTCCACGCTCGTTGAACAGCTTGGGACCCCGCTGCAGCCACTTGGCATCGCTCGGACGTGTGCATGTTTCCGTCGGCGGGGACCATCGAGGATCATCCTTGACCACTTGGCGAACAAAAACACGCACGAAACCGAAAAAAACACGGGGAATGGACGTCCGAGCGATGGCCAGGCCAAGGGGAAGGTTTGCTCAGGCCGTCCAGCGGCAGACGGGGAAATTCAAAATCAGCTGGGCACAAACCCGCTGCGGCCGCCTTCGCCCCATGGCACCAGGCGCCGAGGCCGCGGCTACCCGACAGCGCGGCCTTGCTGAAATCGGTTGAGCGCGAATTCCGGCGATGACGTTGCCATTCATGTTGTTCAGGCGGGGGAAAAACACACGGACACAATTAATCGTCGATTCCCCAGAAAATATTGGAAGTATGGGAAGTGGGGGGGAAGACAAGAACCAAGAAAATATTAAAAAAAAATTATGGGGAACCTTGTTATCTGTGTGTGTATTTACCTAACAGCGAAGACTGATAGGTTTCTAGTTGACTCAAAAGAGCTCACAGATCACTCCACAGGGGGGTCCGGGCAGGTGTTGGGGAGTTGCCGGGCGGCAGGGTGCCGGGCTCGTTTTTCACCAACAGTCGCACACTTCGTGCTCTTCGACTTCCCAGAACTCCATTCCCAGGCCACATTCTGAATACCCGGATGCAACAGTCACACACTTCGTGCTCTTCGACATCCCAGAACGCCATTCCCGGGCCACATTTAGAATTACCAGATGCAACAGTCACACACTTCGTGCTCTTCGACATCCCAGAACGCCATTCCCGGGCCACATTCTGGAGGGCCGGATGCAACAGTCACACACTTCGTGCTCTTCGAGTTCCCAGAATTCCATTCCCGGGCCACATTTTGGATGCACGGAGCCAACTGTAGGCCACTTCGGCATGATCCTTGTTAAAGAATTCCATCCGGGCCACACGCGAATGCCCGGAGCCAACTGTAGGCCCAACTTCGTGCTTTCGGAGTTCCCGAAAACTCCATTCCCGGGCCACATTTTGAATGCCGTAGCCATGTAGGCAATTCGTGCCTTCGACTTCCAGAAGCCCCATTCCCTGGGCCACATTTTCAGCAGGGGCAAGAGCACGACGAGGAGGAGGACGAGCAAGACCAGGAGGACGAGGACGAGCAGGAGCAGGACGAGGAGCAGGAGGAGCCGGAGAAGAAGGACGAGCAGGAGGAGGAGGAGGACGAGCAGGAGGAGGAGGACGACCAGGAGGAGGAGGACGACCAGGAAGAGGAGGAGGAGGAGGAGGGGAGGGGGAGGAGTACCAGGAGGAGGAGGAGGAGGAGGAGGAGGAGGAGGAGGAGGAGGAGGAGGAGGAGGAGGAGGAGGAGGACGGGGACGAGGACGAGTAGGGAGGGGGGGGGAGAAGTACAGGAGGAGGAAACGAGGACCACCAGGAGAGGAGGAGGAGGAGGAGGAGGAGGAGGGTTTTTTCTTGTTTTTTTTTTTTTGGGGTTCTTTTTTTTTTGGGGGGGGTGTTTCCTTTCTTCGGGGAGGAGGAGGAGGAGAAGGAGGAGGAGGAGGAGGAGGAGGAGGAGGAGGAGAGAACACCAGGAGGAGGAGGACGAGCAAGACGAGGAGGACGAGAACGAGGACGACCAGGAAGAGGAGGAGGAGGAGGAGGAGGGGAGGGGGAGGACTACCAGGAGGAGGAGGAGGAGGAGGAGGAGGAGGAGGAGGAAGAGGAGGAGGAGGACGAGGAGGAGGAGGAGGTGGAGGACGAGGAGGAGGAGGGGGGGGGAGAGCACCAGGAGGAGGAGAACAAAGACCACCAGGAGGAGGAGGAGGAGGAGGAGGAGGAGGAGGAGGAGGAGGAGGAGGAGGAGGAGGAGGAGGAGAGAGCACCAGGAGGAGGAGGACGAGCAAGACGAGGAGGACGAGAACGAGGACGACAAGGAGGAAGAGGAGGAGGAGGAGGAGGAGGAGGAGGAAGAGCAGGAGAAAGAGGAGGAGGAGGAGGAGGCAGGCTGAGGCTGAGGCTGTGACTGCGACTGCCGTTGCCGCTGCGACTGTCATCGCGAATGCGACTACGACTGCGAGAACAGAGAATTCGACAACTGGATTTTCATCTGAATCTTAAGGGGAATGCTTTCAGATATGCTTCTACACATCGCTGTTAGGTTGCTTTGCCGGGATAATTATTGAATCGCTTCGCTCATTCCGCCGGCCCTGGAGCCCTCTTTAGGGCCTCTTGGGGGCCTCTTGGGGACCTCTTGGGAGTCTCTTGGGGCTCCTTGGCGGCGTCTTGGGGGCCCTCAGGGCCTCTTGGGGAGCTTTCGGGGGCCTCTTGGGGCGGGAGGGGGGGTAGTCGATTGCGGCTCCCCCCTCGGAGGCCACGATCCTCGTGAGTGGTGTCGAAAAATGGCCCTCCCCTGGAGTGCCCTGGGGGCTTCTCCCGGGACCTTGCCGGGGTACTTTTCGTCCGGGGGCCCCCAGGGGCTGCTCCGCGCGCGCGAACTAGAATTGTTAACCAGTTACCGGGGAACTTAGCACGCCTCTGGCCCGTTGGGCCGGCGAATTTGTGTGTCCCAGGGCCCCTTCATTTGTGATGGACGCACAGCTTCCATTTCTCTGGTCCGCATCCAGGTCCGCATCCGCTCGGTCCGACAGACGGCAAGAGCAGGCCGACGAGGATCACCACCCACCGAACCACCCCAACCCGACCCGAAGGCCCAACTTGACCCTCGATTTCCAGTTGGGGGGGTCGGGGAATGTCGACAAAAACACGTGTGGAACCCCGCCCCCCCCCCCCCCTACCCGAAACTTGGGTCTTCGGGTTAGGTTGGGGTGGTCTGGTAGGTAGTCAGAGGATCGCCTCGCTTCCCACCTTGTACAGTGGAAGCCCATGCCGACAAAGACACCCTGCTTGCCGCCAGGGTGCCCCGAGTCTCTTTGGGTTGCGATGGTCTTGCCGTGAAGAGCGTGAGACGTTCCCACACGAAAGATCGATGGACGTCCTGGGGTCTCAGGGTCGGGTTTCGCGTGGGAGGTTTCTTATGGTCGAGCCCCTGCTGTGCCTCCCAAGGGCCTCGCCTTATGTCGGGCCCGTCCCTCTACAGGGGGATTTTCGACGAAAAATAAAACGTACCCAAAACATACCCCAAGAAGGCAAAACAAGGTTCCGAAAAGAGTCCCCAGACGATCTGTGGACCATGTTTTGACTACGTTCGGGGGTATCTTTTGTTTCTCGTCGAAAATCCCCCTGTAGGGGGACAGGCCCGACGTACGCCTCGCCCTGGGCCGCCCGCTGCGCGCCACTCCCAAGGGCCTCGCGCCCGCCGCGCTCTCCCGCCCGAGTGCCCGGGGGGCGGGTGCCTTCGGCGGCGGGCTGCAGAGCTCGGGCGGCCCGGCCGCAGCGGCCGTGGCCCCGGCCAGCCGGGTCTGGGATCGGGCTATGCCGGGGGGTGCTGCAGGGATACATCAAGAGGCCTCCTCCTCCTCCTCCTCCTCCTCCTCCTCCTCCTGCTCCTCGTCCTCCTCCTCCTCCTCCTCCTCCTCCTCCTCCTCCTCTTCCTCCTCCTCCTCCTCCTCCTCCTCCTCCTCCTCCTCCCCCTCCTCCTCCTCGGGGGGGGCCACAGGTGCCCCTGGTCCAAGGTACCCCCAGCTTCTCGCTCCCTTTTTGAAGCCCCGGGGCCCCCGGGGCCCAGCGATGGGGGGTCCCTGGAGGCCGTGGGGGCCTCCGTGGAAATCCTGGGGGGCACCGTGGGCCAGGGGCACTTCTAGCAGCACCCGGATACATCCTGGCGGGACGGGAAAGCGACCACACCCACTGCTTCTTGCCTGGGCCGCCTTCCAGCCAGCCGAAAAAGGAGCAGTGGCTGTGGTCATTTCCCTGGTGCCAAGCTCAAAGAAAATGACCACAGCCACTGCTTTGTTTCTGCTGGCTGGAACGCGGCAACAAAAGAAAAGCAGTGGCTGTGGTCGTTTTCGCGTCCCGTAATCCTTCAAGAGCGGTCCGGAACGCTCCAGAACGGCCGCGGCGCCCGATGCATCTTCCAGAGCCGCCAGATCTCAGAGATCCCCGATGCCGATCTGCCGTCGTTTTACACAGGCGGGCGTTGAACACACTGGTCGTTCGCGGTTCTCATCTTTCCTTGTGCCTCCTCCTCCTTCCTTCCTCCCTCATCCCTCATCTCGCGTCCTTCCTTTATCCTTTCTCCTCCCTTTTCCCTGCTTCTTCGCCATCCCTTTCTCTCTCTCTCTCTCTCTTCCCCCCATCCTCCTTCCTGCCTCATCCCTGCTCTCTCCTCCGTCCTCCCTTTTTCCTCCTCCATCCTCCGTCATCCCCCTTCCTCTCCGTCCTCTTCTTTTCCCCTCACTGCTGTGCGCCTCCTTCTTCTAACGTTTTTCTGCAGACGTAAACTCGTTTAGTGTCTCGGAAAATTCGTTGGGAAGGGCCGCTGTTCATATTGATTCTATTGTGGCCTTACTTGGTGTTGTCCCCTCGGGCTGATAAGGAGGTCGGGTTTGCTGGTTTTCGAAACTCGATTCCTTTGGAAGGGATCTGGTTGGGGTCCCGTGCCCGGGACTTCCGATCCTGTGGCTGCCACGTGCGCGCGTTCGCTTGCAGCTGTTGGGCCCAAAGGGCCCCTACAGCCCAGCAGGGAGTCGGGGAGTCGTGCCGTGACCCGCTCACTCTTGAGTTGGATTACCGGGCCTTCCTGCTGGCTTCGGCCGTGGCAGAGAAGGTGCAGCAGGCCGCGGCCGGCGGCGGCAATGGCTCGAGCGCTGCCGCGGCAGGCCCCGACTTCCAGGCGGAGTCCGTCGCCGCACTCCGGGCCATCGCCCGGCCGTAGGGCGCGGGCCGGCGCGGCCAGGCAGCGCGGGGACCGCTCGGTGTCCTCCGACTCAGACGACAAGGCCTCCACTTCGGTGAACGTATGCAAGGGGCTGAAGCGCTACGGGCTCAACGGCTTGCCGGTGGAGCACCTGCCGCAGTCCGCTCTCCTTCAGCCTTTGCTCCGGCGCAGCCGCCGCAAGGCTGGCCACGGGCGGCTCCCTTGGGTCGCCGGCGAGCTGCAGAAAGACTTCGAACCGCGGAAGAGGGCGTCGGACGCCACTTTGCGCCCTCCGCAGAAGGGTCAGGCGTTCCAGTCGTTCGCCCACTTCACCAGTTGCTGGTGGGCCCGGGCGCTGTCCCAGCTGGCGCTCCAGGCGGACCTCAACAGCGAGGCCGTCACCTTCGAGCGGTTGCTGCGGCGCTTCCTCGACCTGTGCCACATGGCGCAGGAGCTCGGGGTCACGGTCGCGTACGAGTACGACCGCCAGGAATGGCTCCGCCTCGGCACGCAGATCGAGAACAAGGACCCCTCGGTGGACCCGGACGCCAGCTTCGAGAAGATCGACCACGGCCTGCGCGCCGACGTCAAGGACCAGTGCAGCAGGGCGAAGCAGGCCGGCGACAGCTCGGGCCGCGGCGGTTCGGGCGCCAGCAGGGGCCCGCAGGGCCACGCGAGCCAGCCAGCGCGCGGACACGCGGCGGTGGCGCCGCCCCCGCCGCCGCCCCCGACCCCGGCGCGCGGGCCCCCGCGCTTGCGGGCCGGCCCCAAGGGGGACGGCAAGGGGAAGCAGTGGTGAGCGCCCGCAGGGCGCGGCGACGCAGATCGCCATGTACCCGGTGAAGCAGGAACGCGCGTTGCTCGCGCGAGTGATGGGGGCCGCAGGCCGCCGGATAGCTCTGTGCAATGCTCTGCGCCGCAGGCGCCTTTTCAAGGTGAACAAGCACACCCCTCCTTCCCCCTCCCTCTCCCTCTGCCTGCTTCTCCTCGTCTTCCGCGCCTCCCTCCCCTCCCCGCAGGGGGCAGCCCGCAGGGCAGATTTTTGAACGGCGATGCAGATTGCCACGTACCCGTTGAAGCAGTGTCTCGCGTTGCACGCGCGAGTGACGGAGGCCGCGGGCCATTGGATAGCAGCGTGCAATGCTCCGCGCCGCAGGCGCCTTATCAAGGTGAACTAGTAGGCCCTCCGCCTTCCCTTTCCTCTTCCTCCCTCCGCCCTCCTGCCTCCCCCTCCCCGCCCCAGCTCCCTGTGCCAGTCCCCGCAGGGGATCGCCCGCAGGGTAAGTTTGTGGACGGCGCTCGCCAGAGCTCCGGCGGCGGAGAAGACGGGGCCTCAGACCAGGTCCGCGTGGACACTCTCGCCAGCGCTGCCGCGCGACCCCGCCGCGCCCCGCCTCGCCCGGAGGGTGCAAAGCGCCCGCGGCACAGCGCGCCCGAAGGGGGCCCGCCAGTGGGTCCGACAGAGCACGTTTGTATGGCTTTGCAATCCCGCCCGCAAGGCGACCCGTTCCCTCCCCTCGGCACTGATATCTCGGAGAATATCCAGGGCTTGCTCGAGGACGCCGCAGGCGTGGCAAGCCACCGGGAAACCGCCTTGAGGCATTGGAAGGCTCGTTCCGCGGCTCTGGCGAGCAATCGCCAAAAGTGGGTCGATTCTCTCCCGTCCAAATTCAAATCAACTCTGGAGAAGATCAACGGCCCCCTCCTGCAGGAAATGCTTCTGGCCGTAGGCCATCCAGATCGCGATTTCATGGAGGATTTGTCCCGGGGTTTTCCGGTTTCTGGCCCTGTAGGGGCCGGCGGCGTTGGGCGCAAGTTGCCTGGCCCGGCGTTGCCGCGCAGCGCCGAGGAGGGGGGCCCCCCATGCTTGGGGGAACTTTTCCAGCGGTGCCGGTCGATTAACGACTGCACCGTAGCCAGAGCGAAGCCATGCGCCCACGCTGAGGTTGTTTGGCGGAAGCATCTGCAGGAGGTGTCGTCCGGGAAGGTTGGGCCACCGTTGGCTCTCCACGAAGTGGATTTAAGTCAAGTCCTCCTTGTTGAAAGGTTTGGCATTGAGGAGCGTCGAGAGGGCGTGCAAAAAATCCGGATCATTGACAACTTCAAAAAGAACGGCGTCAACGCCTGCGCGTTCATGACTGAGCGCGTGTGGAACGATACACACGACCATTTGTCTCACGCCGCTTTGGCTCTGCTGCACGGCTTGCGCCGCAACCCGCCCGCAGGGCCCCCGGGGATTCTTCTCGGGAAAGACGATTTCGTTGGCGCCTTCAAGACAGTTTGCCCTAGCCCGGAGCAGTCTTGGCTAATGTGGTGCTTGGTCTGGGATACCGACCATCGCGAATGGAAGGTGTCTGAACTGTTGACTCAACCGTTCGGGGCCCTCGGTGGCGTGCTCGCGTGGTGGCGTTGCGCCCAGGCCATCAAGGCAGTGGCGGTGAAGGCATTTAAGCTCATCCTTTTCGTGTACGTCGATGACACTTTCATGGTGGACCTCCAGCCGCACGCGCAGCGCGCCAAACTGGTGTTCCAGGAACTTATGTCCCTGTTAGGCTGGGACCTAGACCCGGGGAAGTCTGAAGGCATGTGCACGTGCATAAACTTGCTCGGCTGCACCGTGTCGGTCTCCCAACAGGGCGTGGAGTGGCGCCTCCACCCGCGCAAGGCCGCAGAGTGGCGTCGCGAAATTGAAGTGTCCCTGGCCGTAGGCTCCCTTTCCCCCGCCTTGGCGGGCAAATTCGCCGGCCGTCTCAACTTTGCGTGTTCGCGGGCGTTCGGTCGGGTTGGTCGTTCTTACATCAGGCCGCTGTATTGGCGCCAGTCTTCCCATGGGTCCTGGAAGCTCACGAAACGGTTGCGATCGTGCCTCCGTTGGTGGGCTGCTTTACTTGAGGCTTATCCCAGCATGAGCCGTACGACCGCGGAACTGGCGCAGCCCTTGTTCGATGTGTTGGTATATACCGACGCGGCGGGCGACGGAGGCGTCGGGGTCGGGGTCTTCAGGCGTGAATCAGGTGCACGAGAGTATGCCATGGATTTCGTACCGCGCAGGTGGCTGCGCCAGTTACAGTGCAGGAAAACGCAGATCAACGCTTTCGAACTCCTGGCCGCCACGGCCGCGTGGCAGACTTGGGGGCCCGAGCTTCGTTCGGCGCGTGTATTATTCTTCGTCGACAACACCGCTGCGCTGGATATCCTCATTTCTGGGTGGTCGAAGAGACCTGACCTGAATTCTATTGCGGGCGCGTGCTGGCACGCCGTGGGCCGCTCCCGAGCGGCGGTGGAATTTCGCTACGTGCCGTCCGAGAGTAATCCTGTAGATTGCCTCAGCCGGCAAACTTTGGGTCCGTGGGCGTCGTGGAGCCGCAGGGCACTAAAGTGGCCCCGCCCCGGCTCCGTGTAGTTGCCAGGCAGGAGACGGCGCATCCGGGAGTCGCCCGGTGTGGAAGAAAGAGCGTCGTCGATTCTTTCGCTTTCGTTTGTCCTTGTCTTTCCTTTTCTCGCTTCTCTCCTTCCCTCCCTCCCTCCCTCCCTCTCCCCTCCCGCCCCTTTTGCTCCTGCCCCTCCCCTGGCCCTCGCCTCCGCCGCCGCCGCCGCCCGCCGCCCTCCCTCCCCCGCCGCCGTCGCACCTCTTCGGCCGAGGTGGCGGGCCGGCGCTGCTGGCCGGTTCGGAGGTTGGGGGGCGTTTCTGTCGGCTTGGACTCGAAATTCGATTTTCCTTGGCGCGTGCGGTGGGGGTTGTGGTTCACATTGCCCGTAGGGGGCGCCAGAGAATGGTCGGAGTGTGCGTGTTCTGGCAGGATGCATCCACTTGTTCTCGCCCCATGCGCCTCGCGATGTCCCCACCGCGCGCGCGCGCGTCCCCGTGCCTACCACGTGCTGCCCGCGAGTGTCGCCGCAGGCCCAAGGGTGCGCCCAGCGGGGTAGCCGTGCTTCGGGGGGGCCCGGCCGGGCCCATGCGGCCCGCGCAGCCAGTTGGCTTCCGCCCCCCGGCTGCTGCCCCGGCGGCGGCGGCGGCGCCCCCGCGCCGCGCTTCCACCTTCAGGGGGCCAGTCCTGCGTAGCAGGAGTCCCAGGCGCCCTCGCGAGCCAGCTTGGCTCTCTCACGCAGCCAGCGGGCCGCACGGCCTTGGTTCTGTTTCCACGCACGTGGCGCCTGGCGTTCCCAGCAGTGGGCCGGCCGCACCGTTCGAGGGTCCACAACCGAGTGCGTTGTTGAACCCGCTCCGCCCTAGGCCCGGAGTTGGCCAAACCTGGTTGCAGGTCCTTTCGCACCAATCCACTGCTTTCGACGTTGCGTACGCAATGGGCGAATATTTTGATGAGCAGGTGATTTGTGCAGCCTTAAACCGGAGACCATTTACAGTGCGCTTTGCGGAGCATTTCCCGTCCGAGGGCGGCCCGAGGAAACGCCTCGGGGCATTGCTTTCGGCACAGCAGGGGCGCCCTGCGAGCGAGCTGCAGGCCGGCTTGTTGCTTGAAGGGTCTCGGAGGGCAGCTCTGGAGACCATCAGGGGCTCGTGGAAGTCTACGCGGAGCGCTCTGTACGCGTGGGCAGAATTTTGTGAATGCTTCCACCTGCCTCACTTCCCGGCCACCATCACACACGCTAGGCAGTTTGCGCTTTTTGTCCCGCACGGGCCAACTCTAGCAAAATATTTACAACATCTTCGATGGGCCCACAAGTTCTTAGATGCGCCGCTCGGCTGGTGGAGCGGCGGTGTTCAGCAACTGGTGAAGGGCGCCTCCCAAAGGGACGCGCCCGTCGTGCAATCTAGGCGCCCCGTGCTCCGCGGGGACGCGGTGCGAAAGATGGTCGCTGCTGCAGAGGCGCAGGGCCAACAGGAATTGGCCGACGCATTTGTGATCGCGCGCGGATTTCTCTTCCGCGCCCAGTCAGAAATGTTGCGCTTGGAAGTCGGGCAGTTTAGGCCCGGTAAGGCCTCAGGTATCATATTTGGCGCCCGGCACGTCGACGTCACGTTGGCTCGCCGGAAAAACTATGCGTTTCCAGTCACCCTCCGCAGGGAGTGTACCTGCGCGAACCAGGGGCGTCGCATGTGCGCCTTTCATCGTTTGCGGTGCGCCGTAGAGCGCGCGAGACTCAGCAGACGCTCGCGTGTGTTTTCGTTCAGCTACCGTTTCTTCCTAGAGCGTACGCGCTCCTTTGGCGGAGGTGTCGGCGTCCCCGGCGTGGGGGCGCACGCGTTCCGCAGGGGCGCCGCCCAGGACATGGCCGCCCAGGGCTGCCAACTGTGGGAAATCCTCCAGGCCGGAGGATGGAAGTCGGCCGCGTTCATGGCGTACATGAAAGAACACGAATTAGAAACGGGCGCGTGTGCGCAATTGGTGGCCGACCACAGCGATAGCGGTTCCGAGGGCCGGTAGCGGCGCATACGTTGGGCCAGAAGGCGCGCCCAGCCCTCACGTTGGGCGTATGCCAGGGGCTGGGCTTCTGAGCCCGAGGCACTCACATAGCGATGCCACAGGTCGGTGCGGGCTCTTGTGGCCCGTAGGGCTGTCCCTCCCCGCTGCTGCCGGCGCGGCCCTGCCGCCGCTGCCTGAGCCGCAGGCGCCGCGGCCGCTTCGCAGCGCAATTTTCTGCAGACGTAAACTCGTTTAGTGTCTCGGAAAATTCGTTGGGAAGGGCCGCTGTTCATATTGATTCTATTGTGGCCTTACTTGGTGTTGTCCCCTCGGGCTG